ATCTCTACAATAAATCAAAAAATCAGCTGGGCGTGGTAGCGCGTGCCTGTAGTTCCAGCTCCTTGGAAGGCTGAGGCGGAAGGATTGCCGGAGCCCAGCAGATCGAGGCTGCGGTGTCCGGGAGCGGCCACTGCACTCCAGTCTGGGCGACAGAGTGAGACTCCAACTCTAAAAAATTAATTAATTAATTAATTAATGATCAAATTTTAGCTAATTTTTGCATAAGGTATGAGGCATAGATTAAGGGTTCATATTTTGCCTACGGTTGTCCAGTGACACAAGCACCATTTGTTGAAAAGACAGGCCTTTCTCCATTGAGTTGCTCTGGCACCTCTGTCCAAAAGCGGTTGGCCCTACTTGTCTGAGGATATTTCTGGATTTTCTATTCTATACCATTGATCCTTCAATCCCTCCACCAGTACCACATTGTCTTGATAACTGTAGCTATATAGTGAGTCTTGACATTTGGTGGAATAATTTCTCTCTTTATTTTTTTTTGGCCAGAATTGTTTTAGCTATTCTAATTTTTTTGTCTTTTAAGATAAAGTTTAGATGAGTCTTGTCTGTATCTAGAAAACATCTTGAAGAGATTTTGCTAGCAATTGTCTGTTTATTAATTTGGGGACATGGATAGCTTTACTAGTTCTTTCAATCCATGAATACACAAGATCTTCCATTTGTTTGGATCTTTGATATATTTTATCAGTATTCTGTCACTTTCAGTATATCGTTTTTGTGTATGTTTTGTTAGACTTACACCTATTTCCTTTCTCTTTTTTTTGAAAGATTATAAGCAGTATTTTATTTTTCACTTTAGTTTCCACATGTTCATTGTTAGTATATATTAGTACAGTGGGGCTGGGTGCAGTGGTTTACACCTGTAGGACCAGCACTTTGGGAGGCTGAGGCAGTTGGATTGCTTGACCACAAGAGTTGGAGACCAGCCTGGGCAACATAGCAAGACCTTGTCTCTACCAAAAAATAAAAAATAAAAAAACTTAGCTGTGAGTGGTGGCACATGCCTGTAGTCCCAGCTACTCAGAGGCTGCGGTGGAAGGATCTGAACCCAGCTGGTTGAGGCTGCAGTGAGCCGTGATGGTGCCACTGCCCTCCAGCCTGAGCAACAGAGTAAGACTCTGAATCCAAAAAACAAAAAAGGATACCATTGAATTTCGTGTGCTAGTCTTTATCCTATGACTTTGATGAATTCATTTATTATACCTAGGAGTTTATTCGTAAAGTCTTTGGAATTTTTTAGTAGACCATTATGTCATCTGAAAATAGGGAGATTTATTTCTTTGCTGATCTGTATGCCTTTCCCCCTTGTTCTTGCCTTATTGCGCTAGCTGGTTCTGCCAGCGCCGTGTTTAACAGTTGTGAGGAGGGTGAACTTTCTTGCCTTGCTTTGCATCTTTGGGGGTAGCATTAATTTTCCACTTTTAGCTTCATTTTTTTTCAAGACAAAAATCCAATCGAGCCCCTTTGTCCCCCATTGCTCACATTTACTGTGATTTTTTTTTCTCTGTTTTGTGTGGATTTTAAAGGGGTCTTTTTCTGATACCAGTTTCCTTTGGAAAATGAGGGGCCCCCGCCCGCATCCCCGCCTTGGCTCTCCCCAGTCACCTCTTGGCTTTTAGGGGCATGGACTTCAACGCCCCCTCGTGGCTTCCTGGAGCCAGGTCTCTTCCTGGGCCCTGCGGAGAAGTGTGTGGTTTGGGGATGGTGGGACCCGGGGGCCGCCCCATCCTCCTTTCCCCATCCCTGGGGTCCCAGGGGCCGGCTGACCCTCTGCTCCCTGGTGTCCGCAGACTGCGGTCTCGGGCCCCTGGCCCGGCCAGGCGGTGGCACCCGTCACCGGGAACAACCTGGGCGTGCGGCGAGCGGAGATCAAGCCCGGGGTGCGCGAGCTCCACCTGTGCAAGGAC